AGACATAACAATATATAAGCTGATTGAAACCCGTAGCAGCACTTGTCACTAGCAGGATATTTGTATTGAGATCTTAGCTATATCTGTGGCCAGGGATAAAGAACAAACTTGCCATCGAATTTGAACTTACCGTAACTCCTCTGTATACAGCTTACCTAATGTATATCCAGTAGAGGTAATATCGTTAATTACATAGTACCTTAGTACTTTTAGCAGCATCGCTACACTGTTTTCATTTCATTTACTTGATGTTTTCAGTAACTCGAGCTGTAAGTCAACGACCAGTTAGTCCAGTACAAAGATCAGTACCTACCTTATGTATACATTTCTTATTAATTGAGGGCTTAATCATGATATGTAAGATACGGGTACTCACGGTTTACTTGGTTCTGATTTGTAACAGATCCTGAGAGGTTTAATTGATTAATTGATTGATGTGGTACCCCAGGTACTAGGTGTCATTTGAATCTCTTCTAGTGCTTGAAGTATATTCAAAGTTGTGACGTAATTCGCGAAAGCAATTCTCTAAGAGCAATTACATGTCATTAGCTACTTGAGACATACATTCCAAAGTTCCTAACAATCTACAAAATGATGTAGCTAGCATATGTAACTACTCGTAACAGTCAGTAGAATTGTGAAAAGGTACCGCGCTTATCTCTAAACAAACTTGGCTTCTCTCGAGCAGCTGCTGCGATTGCTGTATTGTAAGATGAGTTATTCAATGGTAAAGCTTGACTATCTGTCAAGCCAAATATTCGTTTGGAAGCTCCTTAAATTAAGAGGTACGGCACTGTATCTTGAAAACAACAAACCGTGCTATATCGCTACTCCTAGACACCATCCAGGTCTTTCGCCGGAGATGAAATCGTTAGCTACTAGCTTCCTTCCACAAAGCTTTTTTGTCCTTGACAGAGTAGAAACCTTGTGTAAAAATTTCATCAGAATTTGAACGGTACTTTCCAAATTACAGATGGTCCAAGGATTAGCGGGCAGACAGACCCACAGAGAGACAGATGGCTAGACAGACAGATAGACAGACAGTTAGACATATAGATAGATAGACAGACAGATAGACAGACAGATAGACAGACAGATAGACAGACAGATAGACAGACAGATAGACAGACAGATAGACCAGACAGATAGACAGACAGATAGACAGACAGATAGACAGACAGATAGACAGACAGATAGACAGACAGATAGACAGACAGATAGACAGACAGATAGACAGACAGATAGACAGACAGATAGACAGACAGATAGACAGACAGATAGACAGACAGATAGACAGACAGATAGACAGACAGATAGACAGACAGATAGACAGACAGATAGACAGACAGATAGACAGACAGACAGATAGACAGACAGATAGACAGACAGATAGACAGACAGATAGACAGACAGATAGACAGACAGATAGACAGACAGATAGACAGACAGATAGACAGACAGATAGACAGACAGATAGACAGACAGATAGACAGACAGATAGACAGACAGATAGACAGACAGATAGACAGACAGATAGACAGACAGATAGACAGACAGATAGACAGACAGATAGACAGACAGATAGACAGACAGATAGACAGACAGATAGACAGACAGATAGACAGACAGATAGACAGACAGATAGACAGACAGATAGACAGACAGATAGACAGACAGATAGACAGACAGATAGACAGACAGATAGACAGACAGATAGACAGACAGATAGACAGACAGATAGACAGACAGATAGACAGACAGATAGACAGACAGATAGACAGACAGATAGACAGACAGATAGACAGACAGATAGACCGACAGATAGACAGACAGATAGACAGACAGATAGACAGACAGATAGACAGACAGATAGACAGACAGATAGACAGACAGATAGACAGACAGATAGACAGACAGATAGAATACAGGAGACAGACAGATTAGACAGACAGACAGATAGACAGACAGATAGACTATACAGATAGACAGACAGATAGACAGGACAGGTAGACAGACAGACAGGTAAGACAGATAGACAGACAGATAGACAGACAGATAGACAGACAGATAGACAGACAGATGGACAGACAGATGGACAGACAGATAGACAGACAGATAGACAGACAGATAGACAGACAGATAGACAGACAGATAGACAGACAGATAGACAGACAGATAGACAGACAGATAGACAGACAGATAGACAGACAGATAAAGAGACAGATAGACAGACAGATAGACAGACAGATAGACAGACAGATAGACAGACAGATAGACAGACAGATAGACAGACAGATAGACAGACAGATAGACAGACAGATAGACAGACAGATAGACAGACTGATAGACAGACTGATAGACAGACTGATAGACAGACTGATAGACAGACTGATAGACAGACTGATAGACAGACTGATAGACAGACTGATAGACAGACTGATAGACAGACTGATAGACAGACTGATAGACAGACTGATAGACAGACTGATAGACAGACTGATAGACAGACTGATAGACAGACTGATAGACAGACTGATAGACAGATAGACAGACAGATAGACAGACAGATAGACAGACAGATAGACAGACAGATAGACAGACAGATAGACAGACAGATAGACAGACAGATAGACAGACAGATAGACAGACAGATAGACAGACAGATAGGCAGACAGATAGACAGACAGATAGACAGACAGATAGACAGACAGATAGACAGACAGATAGACAGACAGATAGACAGACAGATAGACAGACAGATAGACAGACAGATAGACAGACAGATACACAGACAGATACACAGACAGATAGACAGGCAGATACACATACATACAGGCACAGACAGACAGACAGACAGTCAGGCACAGACAGACAGACAGACAGGCACAGACAGACAGACAGACAGGTAGATGGACAGATATACAGACCGACAGGTAGATGGACAGATATACAGACAGATAGACACAGACAGACCGACTGAAGTGAGTGACGTGGTTTTTCGTTACATAGATGTCATAAATATAGCATCCAAAATACAATATGTCTAGTGACATAAGAAGTGGAAATGTTCGGTTGTAGTATTTCGGGTGTTAAAGTGTTAAAAAATAGTTCTTCTAGGGCAGAAGCCTAAACAAAGTTAATTTTTTCTGACGGGAAAAAAGTTTTATATTTTATCTCTGTTGACAGGTAACAAAATGTCACTTTTTATGAAATTACCTTTTTCCCCGGGAAAAAATGTGTACTTTTTCCCGGATATTGTATAAAGACATAAGCAAAGGTAGATATTTAATTTTAGAGTATTTTATAATACATTTCCTTTATATCAAAAATACAATTATTAAAAAAGCATTCCGTGAACTATTTTGGTACAACAGTTTAATTTTATTGTGTTGAAACTATGTATTCTGCCATCACAACTCCCGTTGATGTATACTAAGTGACATATAAATCCGAACACCCAGTTTAAATGGTTTTATTTTAATAAAAGTTGGTGAATGTATTTACCTTACTGTAAATAACAAGTGAAAAAATTTTCAGCCTTATCAGTTGGACATTCCGGTTCTTATACTGTTTTTTTTTAATTCACTAACGCTCTAAAAATGAATATTTCAGCCGCGGTAAACAATCAACGTTGGCGGATTTTGGTTCTTGACATCCTTTACTATCGGTTACGATGCCTAGAGTACGGAGACCTGTACGTTTTCGCCAACTTAGTGAGTTTGATAGGGGCCGTATAGTGGGACTTCGGGAAGCTGGACCTTCTTTTCGGGCAATTGCAGTTAGAGTGCAAAGAAGTGTAGACACTGTGGTTAGGTGTTGTCAGGCATGGCTTCGACAAGGCCGTACGTAAAGAGCAAGGGGCACTGGACGCCGCCGTAGAACAACAGACCGTGAAGATCGCCGCCTAAGATTATTGGCCTTAAGGGACCGTTTCTCCACTACCAGGTCCATTGCAAATGAATGGTTTGCAGCACACGGAAGACCTATTGGCATGCGAAGTGTTTACCGACGAATGAGAAGTTTTGGCTTGTTTTCATACTGGCCACACTGGGTCCTCCCTTTAACTCGAGAACACCGACGTAATCGCCTTGAGTGGTGCAGACAACGGTCACTCTGGGATCAGGAATGGAACAGTATTGTCTTTAGTGACGAGTCTCGATTTTGTTTAGGCATGCACGATGGTCGTGCCAGGGTTAGAAGGCGACGTGGTGAAAGGAGGAATCCACAGTTTTTTGTTGAAAGACATGTTCATCACACTGTTGGAGTTATGGTTTGGGGTGCTATAGCTTATGGTTCCAGGTCACCTTTAATCTTGATCAGAGGTAACATGAACGCGCAGCGTTATATCCACGAAGTTCTAGCACCCCATCTTTTACCTTATCTTGACACCCTGGCAGATCCAACTTTCCAACAAGGTTTTGCCCGACCTCATGTTGCAAGAGTCACAATAGACTTCTTTCAACATAATAATGTCACATTGTTACCATGGCCACCAAGATCTCCCGACTTATCCCCAATTGAGCACGTGTGGGATATGATGGGTAGGAGATTGCTCAATTTGCAACGTCCTCCTCAGACTCTAGAAGCACTTCGAGAGGAGTTGGTGGTTGCCTGGAATGAGATACCACAGGAGGACATTGACCACCTGATCAGAAGCATGCCTTTGCGCGTTGGAGAATGCGTAGCACATCAGGGTGCATTCTGACATTATTAAAGGTTAAAGGGCTTTAAAGCAGTGCAATCATTTTGAAATTTTTATCATTTACTTATTATGCTTCATTAAGTACTTATACAAAATTTTATTAAAATAAAACCATTTAAACTGGGTGTTCGGATTTATATGTCACTTAGTATATTTGGTCGCACATGTAGCAGACGATCTTCGACATGAATGGCCTGTATATGAGCATTTTCAAGTTGAAGAAAATTAGCCACTGTTCCGGGAACCTTATAAAACTGGTTTTTAGCCACAACCTGACTGATACATTTTCCACTGTGATATGCATAAAACAGGCGGCGATCCTTTGCTGCTGCTGGACGAAGGGCTATGTACATTAGGTAAAATTTAATATATTTTTCAGTAACTACAAATCTCCTGTTTACATCATTCTTTGTAACCTTAAGCTTCACAATTAATAACGTTCCTGAATCTTAAATATCGTCTAATGTTACCTGGCTGATTTCACAAATCCGACAAGCTCCTGCAATTCCAAATACAACAACAACCTTGGCAAATTAAATAATCATCGTCGAGAGTATTATTTAAAAAATCACTAAATTTGTTCTCGTGTAATCGCAGCTTTCTTGGGCTTGTAACCTTTCCCATTTTGTTTCAGAAATGTAATTAGTTTGAAATATTTTGAAATGTCTACATTATTATTGAATCGTAACATACTTTTAATCATTCCCTTCAAGCTAAAATCTAGTACTTTTTTCGCTTGTATAATAAATAGCTTTAGTTAGCATCGCAACTCCGCTGTAGATAAAGGAAAATAGCAAGAAAGTTGAGCAAAAGACCCATTGTTTATTCATTTAGTAATGCTAATAATCATTCTGGCTAATCGATTTTTACCATCAAATCTAAAATATGATTGAATTTCGCCAGAGTGACTCATGTTTCCATGTTCGACGTAGTTGAAAAATTCTCCAAATATATCATATCACATAAAATCTTAAGAATGACAACTTGGCAATTTTCCTATCTGACTGAACTATGTGTGCATATGCATTACCACTCGCTAACAACTAAGTACCATATCCAGTTCCACGTAAATAACTTTCAGCCTTTAAGCCATTACATTGTTGTCATCATTTTGTGGGCATGGCAGCAGTGTCGCATACCAAAGTAAACAACTGTTAGCGCCTCTTAGTTGAAACAATATTTCCCTATCTCATTAGCTCTCATTTCAGCTGACGAATTCCCCGAACTCCAACAATGCATACGCACACATGAGTTAAAATTAGCTCTGAGCATGAAAGGGCTGATGAGTGATGTCACAGTCACAGGTAGAAAATCCTCATACGTGATCGCTGAGGTGGTGGTGGTATCACAGTATAATTAGTTGTGATTTGCAGATGCAGCACGCAACTTATGCATTCATAATGCGCTGATATTATTTATATCATCTATTGAACAATGATAACAAGTGGATTAATTTGATACTTCCCAGATATTTATATAGATATGTGCATCCAAATTCCAGTTTTCTTTTTCTGAAGGTACTCTATAAAAAATAGATGAGTAGTTTTATTGAATAACAACTTCAAAATGCTATTCTTTTATAAAATAATAATTAACTAATGTAAATGATTACTGAGTGAGTAAACTGAAACCTACTGGGTTAAGTCCTTTGAATGCAGGTGGCACTATCTCCAGCTAATCTCCAGTTGCTTTTGTCGGGTGCCCTTAGCAACATGATGTCGGGCTTTGTCAAGCAGAAAAAATAGTTTTTCATATTGTGGACTCTTTCCACGCAGTTCAAGCTTTAGTTTTTTAAGTTGACCATAGTACACATTGACAGTAATCGTGGCATTACGTTGTATTATTTTGAATAATTTCCTAGTGTTACACCATATACGCCCCCCTCCCACGGGATGAAGAACTCTTTTTGGTGTAAATTTGCTTGATTAGTTGGGATCTAGCCACAGACGATTGCGTGCATGGTTAATATAATTAACTCACGTTTCTTCTTTACGAACGGGATGGTCTAGCCAGTTAAATGTACGGCGAAATAGTCAAAGATGTACTCAGACATCTGCTCGATAACTAAGTTGACCTTTGCTCAACTGGTGGGGTATCCAACTACCAAAGTTGTACGGCTGCCCTAAGGCATGCCAAAGGTTTTTTATTGTGCTTTGAGAGCCCCTGAGCTCTGTAGCCAAATCACCTGTACTGCATCGAGGATTTTCGTCAATTAATCCCTTGTGATTATTTGCACACCCAGAGTTTGGTTATTCTATGAAGGAATAGTCATCTCTGAGGATCGATGGAAGTACCACTTTGCCTTAGAGACTGCCCTTTGGCATATATTTCTCGTGCATCTCTTTCAGCGGAATGCCCGAATTGGTACTGATATAGTGAACAGTGTTGGATATGGGCTTAAGTACCACTTATTTTGTCATTGTAATTTACGCAATGGCGGGTGAAGTATTACTGGCGTGCACCATGATCACGCACTCTTTATATATCCCTTAATTGAAGTCTTTCGATTCTACCCAGGTCTTCTAGCGCTCATTACATATTAGCCAACCTGATACAAGGCCCTGAAGAGGAACATTTGAAAACTTTTTCAAGCTGCAGCAACTGCAAAAGGTTCATTGCTATGCCCCAAAATCTCTAAAACCTGAAAATCGTGAAATATAGATTTTGAAGTAGTATACAAAGGAGGCTTTTTGTTTTTTGCTCATAGGTCTGCGGCCACTTCACCAATTTTCAGAAATATGACCTTAAGTCATATAAACTTCTCCGACATCGGTGGTGTCGTTTCCGAGATAACGATCGAGACCGACATGCCTAAATACCGGTCAACTGAAATGAATAATATGACTTTATGGGGATCATAATACCCAAGAAATGTGTTATCAGAAACAAGTCAGGCTAAATGAAAATCACCGTTACTTCGGAAATCGTTCACCTTATCATAGGAAATTGTGGAATTTTGTTGACATTCCTTTTACCCTAGTAGGTAATTATTTTTTCGGTTGGTAGTATGATGTATATTAAACAAAAAACATTCATCTCGTGACCACCTTCATAATATGTGGAATTACCTGTGACCATATTGCATGTCAGCTCGGGAGGGTACTGCTTAATTCGTCCTTCGAAAAATCAACTCCTAATGAGCAGAACAGGACATCCACAGCGGTAATTTCGTTAAAAATTCGTAATTGGGCTAGCAACCTGTCGCATCTTCCTGCGCACTGGATAGAAATTAAACTGCCTGGTGTCACGCGATCCCCCTTCCGAATTGGGTAAACTAAGAGAATTGATTAGAGCCATTTGTTATTTTGGACGATTTACCTGGCTGATTTATGGCCAGGACCTTTTTGCAGGAGACGCACGGTTGACCGAATCCGGTTGGGGAAATAAGAGCAAATTGACGTTGACGCTGCGCCTCTGGACATGTCCATTAACAAATGGCAAAAGCCGCAGGCATTATTTACTCATGCTATTGCTGGGTGCAATTTTAGAAGAGAGAGAGCCAGATTGCTGCCGGCTCGACGGTGCAAAAAGATCTCGAGACTACCTGTTAGAGAAGGTTCATCGATCAGTCGAACAGCCATTCTCTAAACAGCATCGAACATGGATAATCTAGTCCAGGCGACAGCACCCCAATCATGTGAGCAGTGTTCGAGGCTAGGTATTATCTGGGCCCTATACAGAGTGATGAGGTTATGTGAGAAAAAGTACTTCTTAGCTCTAAACAAAAAGTCTAACTTTTTTCCCAAAAGCTGCCGCGATTGACTAGTCGTGTTCGTACCAGCTCAAATCCTCAGTGATCTGTATTATGACCAGCCGAAATGAACGGCTTTTTGGTGAAACTCAATCTTCCATCAAAACTGGATGAGTGCTAGGGCGCTTCTTGTTAGTCAAGGTACAGTACTGTGCTTTGAGAAGCATTAAGCTGTATCAGATTGTTGCGTCCCCAAGCAGTATTAACCTCAAGATCTTCTCACCAGCTCATAGGCAGAAATCGTTTTGACACTCCGAATGCCTGCATGTAGAGCGCTGTCATCAGAAAAGCTGTAGATCGGATTGATTGTACAGGAAAGAAGGTCGATGATATGTAATAGGAACAGTGTCGGAGTCAAGACCGATCCCTGGGGACCACCCGCATTGACGTTGTGTGCTGAGGAGAAAAACCAATCAATTGTGACGCCTTTCTTGCCGCGACAGAGGGAGTCAGCCTCAAATCTGAACAGCTTCTCTGGGTGGCCATAGGCTGGAAGTCTAGCTATGGACAGACGATACCTTAGCAAATTACATAGTTTTTTGATGATGTTGCGTCTGCTTCAACCTAGCTGGATGCGCTCAATTAGATAATTTTTGCTACTTGCAAATGTATTATCGAAGGTCACATTAAAAAGTTGTTTTCTAAAGCACTGACATTAGCGACGTTCGTGAAGACAAGTCTCTACGTTCAACGAAAAACTATATGTAGTGGTTATAGCATCAGTATCTCAAAGCAAATTGATCATACTTAAAAGCAGCCTTACGGAGTTTTTTGTTCAGATGACCGTTTTTAAAATGAAAGTTGTTCTTCCAAGCTTTACATCAAGCTGTTTATCGTTATTAAGAAACAGTAGTGAAGCTAGTACTTATACAGAACGAAAAATTAGAGGGAGGCTGGCCGCAGATAGACCGAAACATTTTGTCTCGAAACGCTGAGAAACATTTCACCGTGTTGCAGAACCGTAAACAATGCATTCATGGGACCATTGTATACGCGTATACAATGGTGAAGATATACGTCTCGATATTCACGTATACCATGTACAAAATGTATATAATGTATACAATAGCAAATCATCGTTCAACTACCTGCATATAGTGCTGCAAAAGTCCCTTTTCCTTCTAGATTCCTATGTGTATGAGGAAGAGAGAGAGAGAGAGAGGGAGACAAGCGACCACACTTGTGTATAAAGAGTGCGCCACACCCCACGTTGAATGGCACAGCAGTGATGAAGATGACAGAACACAACTGTAACTTGCTACAACGCCTTGTTTTCTACGCTCAATACAAATTTCTGTCGAATCTGTTTGGGATCAATTCCAGACCGATCCTAATGGTTCTCCGATTTTAGGTGGAACTGAAAGTTCAGGATAGATACAAATTCTGCAACATAGCATTATTGGTTTGACTGTGGAAGCAGTTTACAAATAATGAAAAAAATATGCAATATATATCATATTCGTGTACAAAGATACAGCTTTAAATAAATTAAGAACAACAAATGAACCCTAGTTCATCGATTTCTTTGTTCGTGAAGCGTCCAACCATTTTTCGGTTCACTGTTTACCAACTTTCTGACGTTTGCTAATAAAACTAACCTCACTTATGCTATTCTGTACATTGTATTCATCATTGTAAGTATACATTGTATACGCAATGTATACATTGTATTCATTGTATATTATATACGCATTGTATACATCGAGACGTAGAAAATTAATGTATACGCGTAAACGCCTGTCACTACATAGGAGACACCGCACATTTACCGAAACAATGACCAGCTGAACTACGTTTCCTGGCAAAACGTCTACAGACAATCCAGCGTTTAGATTTTCTCTTGTCACATGCTTGTCATCGATTCTATTAACGTAACCTGTTTGGAAGAACCTGGCGGGAAAACGTAGTCGCCGCAAAATTAATAATAAAAGATAGCCGCGCACAGAAAGTTGTTTCAACCTAGAACCGTCTCTACCTGTGTGCAGAGGCGCAAGTTACAAGACAAAATGTTTCAGTCCGACTGCGACCGGTCAGCCAATTGAAATATTTCATTTCAAGATAATTTGTTTCGAGACAAGATGTTTCGATCTGTCTTCGACTAGTCTGACGCGTAGAGTTTATCTCTAAATATTTATAGTGGAAAGTGGGAGCTTCCGGTTTCACGTTTATACTCGTATATTCTTCTTACTTTTACGCCCTACATTTTTGCTGTCTTTATCTTACACATATAACTTACGTCCACCTTTCTATTGTATGTTTCCTCTGATGAGAATTTCTACTAGATGAATATGTTCTCTGTCAAACTAAGAACAGGATTTGTTTCACAACAGCGGAGGGGAGTAGTTTAGAAGGCTAGAAGTAGATGGCGCTAGTTAGGCTGGCGGCTTATCTGAGGTTATAAAGAAAAAAATGTCATTTGCTGATCACCTGTTTACGTCATGTACATCGAAATGTGATGAACTATTTTTCACGACTCTCTTTTTCCCATCAATTTCTGACAGATCGACCTTCAACGACATTAGGAGCCCCTAGCGGAAGCAAAATTGGGATTAACTGTTGTCTAGGACATGCAACGATGTTATACCCTGTGTTCCATCAG